GTGTGTGTGTGTGTGTGTGTGTGTGTGTGTGTGTGTGTGTGTGTGTGAAAATGTGTGTGTTTGTGTGAGTGTGTTTGAGTGTGTGTGTGAAATGAAATGGAGTAGAGTGCGCTTTATAGCATTTATATAGATAGATAAATAAAATAAATAGATAAATAAAATTTAAGTATGGAAGTCTATTTATGATAAAATAACCAGGAGTTCTTCCGTCTTCTCATAAGATAATTTCTGTAACCATTTTCTTAGTATATATCCAACCTCATACTTGTTTAAAATAAGAATTAGAAAGTGAAGAAAGATGGAACAATTCAAATTTAAAATTTAAATACATGTAAAATAAAAAAAATTATAGATTCAGATTCAGATTCAGATTCATTTATTTCTCAAATATAACATTACAGTATAAATTGCACTACGCGTCAAAGTATGAGAAATTATATTGAGATCGTCAGACAAAAAGGAAAATTATGGTTTAGTCGAATAATGGCCAATTCGCAAAATGGCTAACAGCAATAAAGAAAAGCACACAATAATTAGAAAATTAACAATTCATTATATAATATTGTTGTCATTAAATTACATATCAAATATCATTCTCCATCAAGGATCGTCATAAGTTGATAACAATTATACAAGAGTATGTTAATGCGGTAAAAATTACAATAAAAATAGAAAATACTGGATAAACAGGATTTTTCAAGAAAAGGTCTTTCAGCCGGCGCCCAAATATTTCGTCAGACGGTTCAAGTCTGAGAGTAGCGGGTAAACGCTCATAGTAAGTGGGTCCGATGACACGCGGGTTTTTCTCTACAAGTGCCATGCGTCGAGGGACTGTTCTCAAATGACCGGTACGGCGAAGTGGGATGCCAGAAACATTTACAGTACCAAATGAAGACAGATTATTTCAAACATACATTATAATTTCATATAAGTAGAGTGAGTAGTGCGTCATTATGCGTTGCGCTACAAAGAGATTTCTGCAGGAATGTCTGTGTTTTACCCCAATCAATACGCGTACGGCACGTTTTTGCATTAGCATGACTCTATTGGCATCCGTGGAGTTACCCCGTATGAGTGGAAATATGCAAAATAGACCTGTCTTAATGCAGAATCGGAAATGAGCAATTTCAGTTTACGCAACGCAAAGACTGCACCACTCAGTCTATCACACAGTCTGTCAACATGGCACTTCCAGTTAAGGTTCGAGTCCAGAGTGAAGCCAAGGATACAAGCCGAGAGAGGCGATACAAAGAGTTGAGATGACGGTGTAAGGAGGTCACACCGTCACACTATTACCTTTAACGAGTCACGGTTTGTACTAGATGCACACTCGAATTAAAAGACAAAATACCGAACAAAGAAAGTGTATTTGCAATGAAATTACTTATGCTCACTATGTAGGATGAGCCTACACTAAATGATAATTGATAAGTAAATGATACACTTATTCACTGATGTTGATAATGATATAATGATCGACTCGAGCTTCTTCCTCTTCTTAATCGCTTCTTCACTTCTGAGGATCGTGACTCCACTTCATCCTGCCAACCATTTCCATCGGTTACGCTCAATCGCATTATGTAGTGCGGCGCTGACAGGTATATCCAGTTGCTCGGAGGTCTGATTTGACCAACTTTTGGGACTCCTGGCCATAGGTTGCTTTCCCTCCACCTTCCCAGTCACCATCAAACGTTCCAGGTCATCAGCGTTACGTGTCATGTGACCAAAATAGCGTATCACACGCTGCATGCAAGTTGAAGACTGACTCTGTACATTGCATTAGTGCAGCGGGTAGTCCATTTTACGCCAGCACTACATTTCAAAGGCGTTCAGTTCTTTGCTTGCCGGCTTTCATTGTCCACGTAGAGAGATGGAGAAGACAAGAATGCGAATTAGACGTATATTAGTTCGGTTTTTGATTTTCACGTTTCTCCATATCTTGCTCAGTTGAGTTATTACTGTCTTTGCCATACCAATTCATCTTCGTATTTCAGGTTCACAACTACCCCCACTGGTTATCGAAGAGTGCAGTTATTGAAACTGGTCCACGGTCTCGTATTCCTGCAGGAGGTTAGTACGTTGAATAGTCGCGAAACGGTCAATCACCATGGCGTAGATTTATTTATAGCAAGACGCAAGACCTATTTCTAGACTATTTGTTTCCAACCGATCCATCAGCTCTGCCATTTCAACTTCCGATGACGCAAAAAGGGTGGTGTCATCTGTGTATCGGAGGTTAGTTACTTTGACCCCATTTATCTTGAGACCGCCATCCCAGTCATCGAGCGTTTAGCGCATTAAGTACGTTATTAGCCACATCTTTCAAGTCTTAAGAAAAGAATGAAGAAAAACATAAGAGAAAAACAATTACAAGAAGCAAAAATGATATACTCATAATAAGAAACATAGTGAAAAAAGACAAATGTTACACTTAATAACGCCGCACTAGGGAAACCCTGTGTCACGGGTGCCATAGACACACACATAGACAACCACAAATTACTCCCAAACTCACGAGAGAAATAAATGAGAGCCGTACAAATATTACTCTCGACCCGGGAATCGAACCTGAGACATTTGCGTGGCAGTTCGGCATGGCAACCGTTCGGCCACAGAGGCAGT